AGATCCTGACAAAATTGGAATAGCGTCTACATCACAAACTCACGCTATACCTATAACACTAAATCCACAAATATGATCACAATTTATAGATTACTACAAATTTGGTACTATCAACATCCAAGAAGGATTCAACAATAAATTGGAAGATATACTCCATTTTTATATTATACAAAATTATGATATACTTATCATTTCTGAAACAGGTTTACATCAAAATACCCATCCAAACTCGTATAAAGCCAAACATTCAACACACTCTTTACCTTCACTCGACCACAACAATTTCAACCATAAAGTCCACATTTATACAGACAATAAAGGACACACCAAAGGCAGTGGAATTTCCATGATCATATTGGAACAATTACAAAAACATGTTATAAAAACTACCACATTTCTGGGACGAATCTTAACCATTGATCTTTGCTTTAAAGGCAACCATTACATTAAATTCATTTGCTGTTACTTACTAGCAAATGCCTCAGATGACAAAAACCTCATCATCATGTGTTATAAAGAAATAGAAAAAATTTTAATTAACGCTACACTTAACCATTTCCAATGTATAATCATTGGAAATTTAAATATTAATTTAGATAAAATGAAACAATCCAATCATTACCCCGCTTGGAGATGTGAAATCAAAAATATTCTTAAGAATTTTGATTTGAAAAACACTTTGAAATTTTTTTACAACCAACCATCACATACACATACCTCTACTTGTCACGATGGTCCAGACATACAATCATGTATCGATTATATATTCACATCAATTAATATTCTACAGCATACTTTCTACACTTACACCCATAATGTGTCAGAAAACCTTTTCACGACTGATCACAAAGCAATTGGATGCTATTTAGAAATAAAACTAATAGCTCGAGAAAGAGCTTAGAAAAATCTAAGACTTTTTTACCTAATAATACACCTCACATTCATTACAAATATTATTCTATGAATGACGAATCATAGTCATATTACAAATTAACAAATGGTAATTTGTTTCATCAACAATCCCCTAACTGGCATTAAAATGATGAGACACCCTCACAACAAATTGAAAACTATTGGACTAACATTAAAGATCTAATTAATCAAATCAAAGAAAAATGTATTCCTCATTCAAAACACAAGTCCTATATTAAACAGGACCATCCCCTCAGTTTGAGACAATACAAAAACAAATTTTTAACAATTCGTAATATTTTACAAAAATTTTCCAATAATAAAATGGAAAAAATACAAGATGACAACAATAAATAGAAAGATTATTGGCAATCATGGAATTTATATCATCAACAAATTTTAACCATCGACGTTCATTTAATTCCAAACTAACTATTCAGATACCGGCCATGCTAACAAGAGATAATTTAATAGAAACTAAAACAAATATTCAAAGTCTATTATGAATTATTACTGTAATACACAAACAAGAAGATGATGCTTGGAAAATTAACAATATTAACAGATACATTAAGGAATGAAATAATAATTTGATCTATGATCAAAAAAGAATGATCAATAGTATCCTTGATCGTAAACCCAAAAAATTCATTTAGATCGTTTACATTATTTTAATCAAAATACTAATGAATTTCAATTTACTAACAACCTGAACATTATAGCTGAACAAACTAATTTACATTTCCAAAGACTAGGAAAAACTCTTAAAGAAATTAATAACATTCCAAACTACAAATGTATACAGGATCTCCCGTTTGATTGGAGGTCGATGTACAGTCGCGTCGGAAAGTAATGCCCGATTTGAAAATGAAGACAAAAACAAAAATATTTGTATTTTTTCACCAGTATATACATTAGTAAAAAATTTATATCTAGTTTGCTTCTCATACTACATCAAATTTTCACAATCCCAGGGTGGCAGCCTTCCCAAAAACAGAACTATTTAAATTTTCATTTTTTCTTCAGTACAGCTTTAAGTTCGCCTACAGCTTTTGGGAGGAGGTCAACACTTCTGGGTAATATATTGGTTCGTTTCTAATTGTTCTCTACTTTGTTTTAAACCAAGTAAATTTGTTGGTAAATCACTAGTTGCAATTTTATTTAATTTTAGCTGATTTTTGGCTTAAAGATGAAATCTATAATTATCTTGCCACTCGTGATTATCTTGGCATCCAGTAATCCAAATTTGGCAAATAAGGGCTCATTGGATTCGTCTCGTCAAGAAGAATTGAATGGTGGTCGGTTCATATCTCTAGGATCAATATATGCTAAGATATACATTAAAATATATTTTGGACGTTTTTGCCATTATCTCGTGATATATCGATACTATACACATGGGCTGGCCACCATTCGATGCGTCTCGAAGAGACTAATCCAATGAGCCTTTGATTATCAAAATTGGATCACTGGATAGTGAGCTATTCCCGATTTTATGAAATTCAGAGTTTCGAAAAATTTTCAGGTAAAGTATGTTTGGAGGTATATCTCGGCATCTATTGGACCTAAAGATATAATTCAACTAACATTGGACTCGTCTTGGTGAGGTGAATCCAACAAGCCTTAATTTGTCAAACTCTGATCACTGGATGCTGGGATAACCATGGTGGCTAAATAATTATAACCTCCATCTGTAAGTAATCGGGCAATACTTTCTGACGTGACTGTACAAACCTATAAATAATCCTGATACTAGTCATATGACCACATTATGCGAAGATTTTGATACAGTGAGATTTTCTGTATCATATCATCACTCCCCAATAATAAAGCCACAGGGATTTCAGGAATTACCTACGAAGACATTAAACACACCTATCAAGTCTTCAAAGATTATATTAAAAAATTCTTTAATTTAATTCTTTAGGTTTAGATATATCCACAAGAATGGTCACGAGCATTACTATTTCCCATTCCCAAACCGAAAGATTGGGATTGCAAAATAGAAAATACAGTATACGCTTAATAGTTTTATTAGAAACATTCCGAAAATTATTTGTAAAAATTTTAACACAAAGAATCAACATCTTATTAACAAGCTATAATTTAATTAACAAAAATAATCATGCTGGCCTAATTGGTCAATCAACATTACAGCCCTTACAAGTTATCCAACACATTATAGAATCAGCCTACAAAGATAAAAAACAGCTTTGGATTGGATTACATGATCTCAGCAAGGCGTATGACAGAGTCAACCTTTCGCTATTGAAATTAGTGCTGGAAAGATTACATTTTCCATCAACAATCACCTTCCTTTTAATTTCCCTTTTTAGTAACAGAAAAAACAATGTTATTTTACCATCAGGCTTATCTACCGATTATGATGTCCTACAAAGCATAGATCAAGGAGAAGTAATCAGTCCTATTCTATGGATCATTTATTATGATCCCATGTTCACACACTTTTTGATTATGACTGAAAATTTACATATTACTTCTATCAACAAAATTAATAACATTTACCAACCGGATATAGACTTCAAAATTAACTACTTATCGTCAGTGGTGAGTTACCTTGACGATACTAGTTGGTTCGCTTCCTCAAAATCACAATTAGAATCTAACCTCCAAATTGCCAATTCTTTTTATGAAATGGCAAATATTACCATCAATCACGATAAATATACTATAATAACTAATAACCACAAATTCTGTAATAAAAAAATTCAACTACTAATCACTTCTACCAAGTCCATTCCTATTAAAATAGCCTCCCGTTTCTCTTCCAACCATATTCTTGGAATATATATCAACGCGTTCAACTCACATACACCAACGCTGAAAAAATCAAAAAAATTATTAATAATTTTGCTTATACGATGCATTTTAAGAAAATCACGCACGACCATCTTATTTATATTATTAACAAGGTGTTACTTCTGAAATTGGAATATATTAACCAATTTACTATTTTCATATGATCACAATGTGAATCCCTATTAGCACTGATTAAAAAATTATTCAAACAACATTTAAAATTACCAGTGTTCACACAGAATAATATTATTCATAACAAATTATTTTCTTCTATTAATAGTTTTTTTTATAACCAATTTTATTCACACGTTTCAATAGTAAACGTTCTTTTTAACACTCCTTTATTTTCCACTATCGGTTTACAAAAAATTCTGAATACACAATACAATTTTTGGATTCCTAATTTTTCAATATCCAAAGACCTATCTAACCCTATTTCTTCGACTTATCAATCACTTTTAATGCGTCAATTACGCTTATTTAATAAATTTTATATTAATTTTTTACCACATTGTAATACTTCAATTATGGGTGGTAGTAATCCTATCGTCTCATATTACAAATCATATTCACAATTACAGGATTTATTCTCTACAGATTTACAAAGTTTATGAAAAAAGCGTATCATGTTCATGGATCAACTTACGTCCATCGATGGTTATCATCTAAGTACCTGGAAAGAGGTCAAAAAACAAAACCCAAAAGCTAATTTTAAAGGCCCTACACCATGATGGTTTCTAGATCTGGAAAATAGTAACATTATTATGGCAAAAAACTCACGCCATTTACTAAAAACCTTGATTTATTGCCAGTAGTCAAATATGATTTTACTGCTCCATCCATCTTTAAAAAGAAAGCAACTCACCGTCCCAAAAATGAATGGATAATCTCTTGGAATTTTACTCACCAACAAGAATTTTATGGAAAAATGATAGAACAACAAAATGATATATATGGCACTAGCCTTACTTATAAAACACATTATATACCGGCCCTTGAGACCAACACTAGAACAAATTTAACCCAAAAAATTAACATCTACTTTACATCCTTACTCGGGAACCCTATAAAAATTAATTGTCCGTAAAATGTAATAGTAAATAATTGATAAATAACGGTCATATAGATGTCTAGTAATTTAACTATTTTATATATGTATTTTAAACGTTAAATATACGGAAAAATGAGCCCATCCGTTTTATGTTTGAAATTTAAATGTAAATTATTTGTTTATTAAATGTACTATTCTCACTAACCCATTCAATCAGTTATTCATCTGTATAATCTACATCCTTATCTATTACATAATAAGTAGTTTTAATCTGAAAAAACCCTACACAATGGTCTATAGCAAATGCATCAATGAATTCATGCGCTCCAAATTTTTGAAATGAAATAAGACCTGCACTATCTTCTCTAACATCTGCAGTCCAATGAATATATGCTAACATATAAGTTACTTTGTCAAATTCGTAAGCAAGATAATATTCAACCTGTCCATAAAATTTTTTCAATACAAATTCTGGTGTTTTCTGAGGAAATGAAGACCATCTATCCACTTCCATAATTACCTATAAATTTATCATAGCAGATAAGATTAATGATAGCAATTTCATAACATAAATTAATATAATAATACATGTACCAAAACTGAGTAATTATTGTGAGCCCAATCTTGATTTTGTCTTGCCCATTTGGATCCAATCTGGTGGCCCTTTTTCGTCTGTAGGCGTCCATATTTCATGCCAAATGAAGAAAAGGACTATGAATTAAAAAAAAATAAATTATTTGATTAAAAAAAAGTCCTTTAAACAAATTTTCACATATAAAATTTGAAATTACCATTAACTTTCGGCCTCTAACATTGTGAGTCGTGGAAAAATGCTCTTTAATTTTTTTTAATTCTGACTGCCTAAGATTATGCCTTTTTGATGGAGATCGCAATACTTCTTCAGAATCAGGTTGAGAATATGCAAGATTATTTGAATTGTGCTTGACTTCTTGTAAAGGAAATATTGCTGTATGCATATTTTGATAAAATTGTAAATGATTGAACATTTCCTATACATGTATATTGTTAATTATATTCTTGTAAGGGTGTAACCGTGAACGAGCTAAAGGAAGTAACATTCCACAGACTCTTTCAATCGGAAATTGCCATGTAGCCCAACATGGACCTGTGTTTTCTATACTATCGGCAATATGTAAAAGGTTGTGAAAGCATAATTTCATTGTACTTAGCCACTCTTCCAAACTTTGATAATATTCTCTAAAATAAAAAATAAATTAAATATCAAGACTATACTATACAATTTGAAATTAAATTGATAATAAACTACTTACTTTTCATAATAATCATAAAAAGGCTGAAATAAAAATCTAATATCATTTATATCTTGAGATGTTAATGATAATTTTTGACATAAACGTACAGCATTAACAAATTTTGCCCATCCTTTGTAATGTTTCTGTGGCATTCTACCTTTCAAAAGAGGCAATGAATACATGGTAATCCAGGCAGCCCATTCTTTAGCTTTATAACCTTTATGGTATAATACTATATTGCGTGGTGGTCGTCCAAAACAAGTTGGAAACTCTTTACGTGCTTGATGCATTTCTTCACCGATAATCTTCCATTCAGATTGGCTAAGAATATAATCACCAATATTTTGATCACTATTATCATTAAAAAAAGTTCCAGTCCATAATTTAAACATGTAATAGGCAATATTCTCATATATAAAATGCATTAGATAAATCGGAAAAGAATTTGGAAAATGAATTGCTTTAAGGTTAAAGAGTATACTACGCCCTTTTATTCCTTATAAATAAATAATTATTAAAATTACTAAAACAATAAAATTTAATTAAGAGTTATATATACCAAATTCAGTTTCTAATTCTTTTCTTTCTCTTTTTGAATTTGCTTGGTTTAATTGAAAAATTAGATCTTTAAACTGCCTATGAGTTCGCAAAGGTAAATTTTCAGGATCATATCTTTCATATTCATTTTCTTTTTCCATAGGTGGTTTAGTAGGAAAATACACATGATTTAAGTAAATACCACGAATATCACAAAACAGGCACCCCTTATATGAATTATGGCCAGTTAATTGCATGAGTTTGGTCAATCCTGGAGTATCACCTGACCATGATAAAATATGGGCATGTAATAAAAATGTTTCATTTTTTAATCTGTCATAGCAATCTATCCCATCTAAAAGTAATAAAATATAAAATATTACTAAATATTATAAAATCAAAAAATTTAAATCAAGGAAAAATTACCTTCCAGTTCTTTTAATTCTTTAATTATAGGATACATAAATGAATTAAAGTCTTTGGGTTCTTTTGGGCCTGGAATAATTGCTGCTATTAAGAGATTTTCTTTTTTAACACGTTCTTCAGGACATATATTGGCATTAATTATAAGGACAACCCAGCAATCATCTGTTTTTTGTTGAAAGATTTGGTAGCCATCAACAGAACCCATTAATGCAACATCTCTATCATCTTCAAAATATCCATTAGATAAAAGTTTTTGGTATCTAGCGCCATCAAATATATCTCCAATTATTCCATCTAAACCAAATCCTTGAAGACTTGTATAATTTGCACGATATCTCAACTCTTTGGAACGTTTTGGATCTTGATATTGAATTCTAAGAAGGTCTTTAATGGAAAAAAAGGCCATTTGTTGTCGTGAAACATGTTTTCTAGTCTGAAATCTTGATGTTTGACAATATTCACAAAAATCATTGTCTTTATACTTTCCTGTATAAGCGCAACAAGAGTTGATACAAGTATCTACCCATGTAGGTTTTATTGGAACAATTGATTCTAGTGTTTTTTAAACTTGAAATAAACTAATATCATTACCATTAACTGCTACCATGGTTTGATGAAATGCATTATCCGTTAAGTTACACTGAGATTTAACTAGAAATAATCTTAAAGCACAAATTAATTCTTCAGTTAATTGTATCTCTCCTTAAAAATCTAAATTAAATAAATGAATTAGATTTGAGTAAATATTTCAAATTATTTAATCCTTATATATTTTTTGTACCTGAATTATCTGCAGAAGATTCACTTAATTCAGAAAGTTCATCGATTACATTTGGAGATAATTCTTGCTCTAAATCAGACTCATCAATATTAAAAAAACAATCATCTCGTCCAGAAGATAAATTTTCCATATTATCCAATAAACTTGATGATTCATTTAATCCATTTTCTTCCGGCCTTTAAAATTGTATTTTAATAAAAATTAAAAATTGAAGTACTAAAATTTATTAAAAAATATACCTATCGAAACTTGTAGATATAATATTAGCTTCAGAAGCGTTAGAATGCAAAAAATCAATATTTTCATCTTGATCCATAAGAATAGAAGATTCACTTTCAGAACTAGAAAGTATATCTGAAATACTTAAACTTGAGGTTGTTGAACTTAAAGTTGAGTTTATTTCTGCTGTTTTTTTTTCTTGTTTGCGATGTCTAGTTCTTGTAGATTTTGAAATTAAACATCCAACTCCTTCAGTGTCATTTTGACGACATTTTAAACATGTACAAAGAACTTTTTTAGATGTTTGATTTAACATGTTTAATATAAATTCAATCCAATCGAAAAAACAAACAATTTGTTAAATAGCTTAATTGTCTTACATATTTATACTTAAATGTATATAATTGACTTAAATGATAAATATTACAATATTATGATGTAATACACTTATCTATATATATACCTGATTAACTTTACATTAACTTTTTAAAGATATAAATACGTAAAGTTTAAGTAATATTTTCAAACTAATTAAAAAACTACTAATTAATTATCTTCTTAATTATAAATATGTCCAAAAATATCATTCAAAAATATCCAAAAAAAAAATTTACTAAAGAGAGTTCAAAAGAGTTTGATAATAAAAGTGACTACAATTCTAACCTTGAAAGTTCAGATAATAATAATGATAATCAAAAAGAAGATATGTTATCAAAAATTTTAACTCGTATTACTGCCTTAGAAAATGAAAATAAGACATTGAAAGTTGAATTAAAAAATAAATCATCAGTTTCAAGTTCAAGAAATAAAGAAACTTCAAATATTATAAAGTCCAGTTCCAATAAATTTATTAAAAAAATGGATAGGGTGGTGCCTAAATTGACGTCCAAAAAGCATGCAGAATCCAGCTTAGAACAATCAAGCTCTGAACAAGAATCAGATAGTGATACAGAAGCAGAAGTATATGAAAAAGATATTTTACATAAAGATTGTAAGACTAAAGAAGACGTTTCACAAGAAGATTGTATGACTAAAGATGCTTCACAAGAAGGTTGTAAAATTAAAGATGATCTACCAATTCCAAAACCTGTCAACTTTACAAATTTGCATTCAAAATTGAACTTAAAAAAGAATGTATATCAAAGTTATAAGGTGAATTTAATAAAGTATAATATTAATTATCAAATATTAATTAATTGTTTTTTAATGTGTTTTTTTCTAATTTAGACTGCTTTCTATAACCTTGTTGATCGGCATACTTCTGCTGAAGTACAATATAAAAACCTTGATAAAAAAACTAAAGCTGGTATTATTCGCAAGTTTAAGAAAGATAATCCTCATTTTCCAAATTGCATTGGTGATTGGGCCTTAATATATCTTATGCGTCGTAAAATAAATTTTAATCGTATGTATTATATTACATAATTAATATTTTTACATTTGTAATAAATATAATTTACTAAATAATGAATTGTTTTTTTATAGGTGATAATATCCGCCGTCAGAATATGAACAAAAGGCGAGCTGTGAAAAATAAACCAGTTAATAAAAGACGTGCAAAAAATAATGTTATATACGCAAAAACACTTGGCAATAATACTGAAGAGCCTAAAATACAAGATACCTATCAGCAGTCTGAACAGTCTGAAGAAGATTTTAATAGTGATGACGAAGCAAGAAATTCAGAATGTGAAGATCATGAAAAGCAAAATGATGATGAGTTAGTACTACGTGATTCAACTAAATTTAATAAATTGGATGACTCTTCTGTATATGTATAAAATAAATTTATTTGATTAATAATTAACTGGAATAATGGAGATATTTCCTTTAAATATTAGGAATGTCAAATCAAATCCACGACGAAACAATAGAAATAAAGAATCTATTGAAAAACAGCAAATTGAAAAACAGCAAATTGAAAAACAGAACAAATTGCCAAATAAATCTTCAAATTCGTATGTATCTTTTAAATGTGTAATAAATAATTGATTTTATTAATATTTATTCTGTTAACATTAGAAAATCAACACCGCAGCCAACACTTCGTAGATCTTCTCGTAAAAAGACAAATGTTGAAAAACGTCCAATTGATGAAGGTAATAATTCAAGCAAACCTGCCAAAAAATGACAATATAAAAGGAAATAAAAGTCATAACTTTTACAATAGGAATTTACTATACATAAATTGACCTTATTATGTAACAATTGCATTTCACATTATGTTTAAACATGTTATTTGAACGTTATTTGTTCATTAAATTAGTGCTTGTTTATATTTACAATACAACTTACGAATATTCAATATTGCATTAAATAAAATTATGTTTAAATAATAAACAAATAATGATATTTCGAATAATATATGGTTAAATAACATTTTTTTACATACATTTTACGGAAATTGTGTTTTCATAGGGGAAACTGTGGCCATGGTGTTCCATTTAGTGGCGATTTATGCCCTAAATGTATTTTAGTTTCACTTACGTCACAACTTATACTTTTTAAAATTCATTCCAAAAAATATAAACCTCAACATAACCATTTAATAATGGATAATACTTTAGTTTTTCCAATTACACTTTTACACACGCTTCGTTTATTAGCTCTTTCTATTAGTAAACATAAATTGATTACACCTAATAACTTTCCTACTCATGTTCCTATTTTATCAACATTAGATTCGTATTTAAATATGAATTTGGAATTTTTTATAAATTCACCAAATTTAAATTTAAACATTTCTTCATTATTATTTATAAATAATATTTTTATAGGACAGCGAGATTCAATTATTCAATTATTAGAAATAGCAAAAAATTTTACTTCACAATCACATTTTATTTTTTATACTGATGGTTCGTTTACTAAATTAGATAAAAGTTCTTCTTCTCCTACTTAAATGGGATTTGCTTGGATTGAGATATCCAATTCGAGCTGAGATTTTGGACCACCACCACCTTCATTTAAAGGAGCTTTATCTTTCAATCCATCTTCAACAAAGGCAGAAATTTACGCCCTTTTGACAGCAATTATTGCAGTACCTAATCATAATGTAATGGATGTTTACACAGATTCGCTTAACGTGATCCATACTTTTCACAAAATTACTAACAAATTAACTTCGATCTGCCAAACATTGAAATGTAATAATCATATAGCATGGCGCTTAATTGATACATTAATCATGAAAAAGTCTCTTACCATACACTTACACAAAAATAAAGCTCATTCCAACGATCATTGGAATGACATAGCAGATAATCTTGCCAATATAGCACATACTCTTTTACCCATTGAAATCAATCCAACCAACCTTTCAGGTTCTTTAATGACTCCTCCATAGGCTTCTTTAGCTTCTGTTGATCATGATATTAGAAAATTTGGTCACAATATTACCGACCTTTACACATTCGACAAATTCCTGGGCAACCCGTCATTATCATCCATATTCGATAGATTTCCTATATCATCAATACATTGGTCGCTCACACAACATTAGTTACATCATAATTCTACACAGGACGTTTGTAACTCTACAAAATCATTATACGACGCTTTTAAAATCAAATCCCTCAACCACATTTTACCTTGTGGCAACGTCCTAACTAAACATTATCCAGAGTTATATTCTGCTACTGACATTCCTTGTCCTTTTTGTAACAATCATCAAGATACCAATGAACATCTGGGGATATGTATGAATCTGTTTTCCGTTATCAATAAAACTTTACTAGATCATAGAAATATTCTTCAACAATTGATTATGGACAATTCATTGCATAGTTCGCTTCTTGTAAAATCAGCGATTGAACACTTTAATCTTCTTTCTCCAATTTTGGAGAATAATTCTCATACTCACCCTGTGTATTTATTCATACATCAATTAATCCCTCAAGATTTATATAATCTAATTCGATCCTTTATTTTTAATGATAAAGTTACCTGTAAAATAATATGGGATTTCCTTTTATCTTTTCACGAACAAATTTATCAACAAATATGGCCGAAATACTGTTCTTTGTTAAGAACTTGGGAACAACGCAATGGCATTACTTCTAAACGTAAATGTAATTATCAACAAAATAGATCTGTTAAAAAACATCAACTATCGTCTTCTTTGACTCGACCTAGTATTGCAATAAATACCCTATCCAGCCCACAAGATTCACCTCAGGCTTGATGGCAGATGACTTCTATACCTCCAAATGGCGTTATTATTCGCAATTCTTATCCTTGGTCTTCAGCGGCACCATCTAATCATCCTCCGAACTTTCACAATTACCAATGTGGTTGATCTTGTGCATGTGTAATTTTTTACATTCTGGTGGATGGTTATCTTCTGTCTGGCATCCTAGTAGTTTCATGTTAGATATAGATCATTTTTCTTTACGGGTCTGGTACGAAATCCTGACACACAAAATCCCGACATACATAATCCCGACTACCAAAATCCTGAAATAAGAAAATCCCGACTAGTACAAATTTCCGACAGTTACAAAATCCCGAAATTTACAAAATCCTGAAATTTAATAATCTGGCCTCATGTTACTTTCTTAATCTGTATATATTATGTTCATAAAAGACTACTAATACATTTGATAATTATTAAAGTGAAACAATCAGCCACATATTTAAAGTACAAAGAATAAATATTGCTATATTAGTATTAGAAGTTGTTTCTTTGTATAAGTTATATTGCTATATTAGTATTAGAAGTTGTTTCTTTGTATGTATAAGCTAAAAATATATTGATAATAAATATTCTGCGCATCTTTGATATTACAAATGTTTACTCATCCTTAGTCACGGAAACTTATTTCTCTATTCCATATATTGGTTACAAAAACTTATTAAAAATGGATGAAATATGTGAAATTGTACCATCACAAAAAGAAAATAATAAAATAAATGTTCGTGGTTATTTAATGGTAAAAGATAAAATGAGAAACAACACTTATTATTGGTGTTGTGAAAAAAGAAAAGAAAATTGTAGAGGTCGAGCCACAACAATCTTACTTGATAGTTTACATTACCTTAAAAACTTTACTGAACATCACCACTCACCTCAGGCTAGTAGTAATGTAAAGGTTGCAAAAACTGTTGCCCAAATCAAATAAAAATCTCGTGAAATAAGAGACAAACCTGCACGAATTATCCAAGATATCACTGCCAGAATGTCTCAAGAGTATCATCCTTATATGCCATCTACTATTGCTCTTCGTGCAAGGATTAAACGTGTTAGGAGATCAGAAATGCCTCCACAACCACAGACTCTTGGAGAAATTAATATTCCAGATTTTCTTAGCAGAACTTTAAATGGAGATTCTTTCTTAGTAAAAGATTTTATGTTTGGTGAAGATCGGATTTTACTATTTACAACAAAAGCAAATATTCAACACTTATCTCAAGCTCCATTTTTAATGATGAATGGAACTTTTGATACAGTTCCAGTAATATTCTGTCAGTTATATAGTATACATGCACCTGTTGGTAGAGAAAATTCAAGAATCCTCCCACTTGTTTACTCACTAACAACTAGTAAGTCATAAGAAATATATAGATGCTTGTTTGAAGAATTGATTGATTTTGCAGCAGAAAATAGCATTGACTTACAACCATCAGTGGTTATAACTGATTTTAAACAAGCATCAATAAATGCATTACGCCATGTGTTTCCTAATATCCGCAATAAAGGATGTTTTTTTCACTTGGGACAATCAGGTTGGCGAAAAATACAATCATGTGGACTTGCTACTAGATATGGTAATGATGAGCATTTTAGTTTAATGCTGCGTCATTTGTTTGCTTTAGCATTTTTACCATCTAACGAAATTCCAGAAGCATTTATTAATACATTAAAGCTTGAAATGCCTCCAGAAGCAGATGAAGTTGTTAAGTGGTTTGAAGAAAATTATGTGTATGGAAAGATACGTCGCCATCTTAGAAATGGCAATACTATTCGTGGAGCTCCTTTATTCCCTCCAGAGTTGTGGTCAGTACATGATTCAATTGAAACAGGAATTCCACGAACACAAAATATAGTAGAAGCCTGGCATAGGCGTTGGAATATTTTAGTTGGTAAAGCCATGTTGGTGTTTATACGATAATTCAGGAGTTACAAAAAGAACAACAGAATGTTGAATTTCAAATTGAATGTATTATTCGTGGTGAAAAAAAACCACCAACAAAAAGGGCCTTAGTTGATAGAGAAAATAGAATAATGACGATTATTAATGATCGAGAAAACCGCTCATTGATGGATTTTCTCCGGGGAATCGCGCACAACCTTTCATTGTAATTTTCTTTAGGTTTGGGTATTGATTATTTTCATTTTATATTGCTTTGACATTTGCAATTAAATTTATATATAATAAAGTTTATAGCAATATATTTTATAAAATTAAATAATTCAATTAAATACTAATATTTTACAAAAGTGATATAAAGTTAAACATATAGCATATTAAATAATTAATATTTTACAAAAGTGATATAAACATATAGCATTAGCATTTTTACTAAAATAAATAACAAAATTTTGCAAGTTGATATGAAAGTTATTTTGTAAAAAAAAAATTTTGGGATTTTGTAACTGTCGGGATTTTGTACTAGTCAGGATTTTCTTATTTTGGGATTTTGGTAGTCGGGATTTTGTGTGTCGGGATTTTGTACGGGTCCCTTCTTTACCTGGTAATTTTAATTATAATTTTTTTAGTTCTACTTTTTCTTTAGATAGTATTTTCATGACATAAGGTTATGCCGATTTGTTCTAAAGAATAAAAGGCAAGACGACTCCTTCAGGCTTCTCCTGAGAAGTTGGGTTTTATCATTAGTTTAGAATTTATTAGACTTTTAGTTTATGTTTATTCTTATTTAGCGTTAGACCTCAGTCGTGTCTATATTTGAAAAATAAAAATAAAAATAAATTTTATAATTAAAATTCCACCACACGTGACCGGTGACATTTAAAGGGATGTGAAAAAAATAATTTTGCAAGGCAAAAAAACCTAAGTCCCTCAGATAAATATAAACAGTGAAAACGCGGTGGGGTGTGATGCCGGTGATGAATATTACAAAATCACGTGGGGTGGAAAAAGTGTTGGTGATACTGGGTAAGATCGGTCACATTGGCTGACGGTTGATTTTTTCAAAACTAATTTTTGAACGGCTAAACTTAAAATTTTATTGCAAAAGATATTTTAAAAGAATATTTTTTTGCAAACATATTTATTCAAAATAATCATATGAAATTTTATTTGCAAATATTAAAATTTAAATCACACATTTATGATTTTAAAGAAGTATTTGTTTTAATGAAGTGATGCAAGTAAATTACAATTATTAAGAAGAAAGCTGCTAATAAAAAAATGAAATAACAATGGAGTAATGGAAAGTAATAGAAGATGAAAGGGAGTAAAAAAGAGTGATAGGAAACAAAAAGGAAAAATAGGACGTGGTGGGAGATGAAGAGGAGTGATAGGAAGATGAAGAGGAGTGATGAGAGACAAAAAGAAATGATGGGAAGTAAACAGGATAGAAAAAGAAATAATGGAAAATGAAAAGATGTAATAGAAAATAATGGGAGACAAAAAGGATGGAAGAATGAGAAGTAATAGGAGATTAAAAATGATGAGACAAAAAATAAAAAAAGGATCATGATAGGAGGTTGAGTAGCAAAAGATAATGATAGGAAACCAAGTAAAAAATAAATCATAAAGTAAATTAAAATGAAGTTAGTAAGAAACAATAGTATAAGATAGAAACAAAGTAAAAAAAAATAAATAAAAAATAAAAAACATATCTTTATTAATTGTAGAACCAAAAAAACTAAAAGATCTAAAAAAAAATGAAATAAAATTAGTGAAAAATGAAATATGAAACAGAAACAAAATAAAAAAATAAAAAATAAGAAACGAAATGTAAAGTGAAAAACAACCGAACCTTAATTGTAGAACCAGAAAGACTAAAAGACTGAAAAATAATGAAATATAGTTAGTAAGAAACAAAGTGTAAGAATTTAAATTAGAAATAAAAATTAAAACCGAGAAAACGAACCTCGAACCTATAATGAAAATGAGATTCGATAACAAATAAACATGACACGCTCATGTGGCCAATCTGGCCAATCAAAATATTAAATCTGCCACGTGATCGAAGACCGGCGATTCCCAATATAATTTATATCATTCTAATATTATAAATATGATTTAATACATATTATTTTAATTGTTAACTAATTATTGCCTATCATATTAAATTCTAATTATAAACAAAAACTGCTGTAACCATCTTTAATTTACTTAGTATTACATTATTATAATACTAAAATTTTCTATTTAAACAAACTCATTGGTCCCGGTGCGAAGCAACGGGTGACTGCTATACTGCTAGTGTATATATAAATAAAAACATAAAGTTTGCATCGGTTATATGTTAAATATATTATCCGTTATCATTATTTATTTAGAAGAGAATTATAATTAAATTTAGTACCATTATTTCAAAAAAAAAGGCACATAGTAATCATAGTATGTCTGTTTTTATTCAAAAAAATTGATTATTTAGATGTAAACTATTCAACTTAGCAAAGTTAATAATATAAAATAGGAATTAACCAAGCGGTATTTTTTGCATGTAAAGAAACGTACTTAATTCCTTTAAAATTAAATAATAGTAGTTTCTTCGGAGAATTGCGTAATTTTTGCTTTGTGTGAATTGTTTTGCCAACATAACATTTTATTTAGCGTGTCACAATTGAATGAGTTGTATGCAGCTTATCAGATGCCACACCATCAGCAACAGCAGTTGCACCAGCATCAGCAGCATCAAGTCATCAACATCAGCATCATCAACATCAGCATCATCAACAGCGGGCAGGCAACCGCTGACATAATACACTTAATCGACCTAAAGGATCTGCTGTCTATTAAAGCTTACTGTATTTCAATTCCTAACTAACTGTCGTCAATTTTATCTTTTCCAGCAATTACTCTATGATTTTCTGAAAATAAAATCACGAAATTTTTTCAATACAAATATTCAGTAATTTCAAGTGCAATATTTTATAATGATAATAGTTACTTAAACGCGTTCTTGTATTTTTCACTTGGTACGTTGCTGGTTAATGTCATATGTAAAATGTCCAAATTTCATTGTGTTCTTGTAGATCGTGTGTACCACTTTTTGTATCATGAGTAATTGAGTGTACACTGGATCTTGTGCTTGAAACATCGTACGGTTTTCTCATTTCTTTAAGTAATTTGTTTTCTCTTATCTTATGTTTTTCGTTATTCTACGAGTTTATGGTAATTTATGAGACTTTCGGCCATGTTACAATTGTTACATGGATCTGTGTGATCTAAACTAGGGATGGCAACGGTCGGTCACGGTCGGTTATCGGTCGGTCATAACCGGTTATGGGTCTTTGACCGACCGACCGTTTTTGCTGACCGTTTTTCTGACCGTTTAACCGACCGTTTGACCGACCGTTTAACCGACCGTTTAACCGTTTTTTTTAGTGAATTTAATTAAGAAAAAACGTTAAAAAGTTTTTTTTTTGATTAAATCCGCTAACAAAAGCATTATACAACTTTTTTTTATTGATTCAGCTCATAAAAAAAGTGTTTAATGAATAGGGTTGGTTAAATGGTCGGTTAACGATCGGTTAAACGGTCGGTTAAACGGTCGGTCAAACGGTCGGTCAAAACCGGTCGGTTAAACGGTCGGTCAGAGCCTTTGACCGACCGATATCGGTCACGGTTATTAACCGGTCATGACCGGTTATGACCGTAACCATTGCCATCCCTAATCTAAACTATAGAATTAAATCTTCCTTATGTATTGTCGTTGTTTTTTGTTAGTTTTTTTTTCTATTATTCCAATTATATTCGCTTTTTTAACCTTGCAGTAATCCATAAACACCATCCCATTTGATACATGTAGTTATGCCTTGAATTTCTAAAGGGCGATCAATAATGTTATTATTATTAAATTTGATCATTCGTACTTGGAATATAAAAAGATTGTTCACTTCTGCTTTAATTTTCGTCGGACAGTGTTAAAGGTCAGTGTCACTCTTTAGCCGCTAGCTTTCTCACAATTATATATATAATTTATAAGTTTTTCGTTGATAGTATTGATATGGTCATTTTAAACGTTCAAGTAAAAGTCACTGCTAAAGAGTTGGATTCGTCACTATCTTTCTTTTTATTGGCTTACAACCTTGTTTCCTGCACCTTTAGTTTGTGTCGTTTCCCCCGTAATATATTTTTTTACTTATTCCCCATATGTATTTTTTGTATTTTTATAAACTCATGTAAAATTCTTATTCCGAAGAGACTTTATTGGAATGGATATGCATTCTTATTCTTCTCGTATTTTCATGGTTTGCGCTTTGTAATAACTTCTCATTTATGTACGCATTTTGCCAGCACCCGAGAATTCAACAAACGCTATGTTACCTATGTGTTTTCCACATAATTTTTTTTCTAAAATCCTGGCTGTTGTAGTATATGCGACCAGATTTATAAGCTTTTCAACATATTTCGGTCTTTTTTGCCATATGTTGTGAGAAGTAATGACGTACTAAGAGCTTCAATACTATTTCTTATTGACAAAATTACCATGATCTACTATTTACGCAGGCTGAACATAATGTACCGTTGAGACCTAAAATTACCAAAATTTCATTTTCAAATTTGTCATTTTTAGTCCCAACATCGTAAGAAATGTTTTTTAAAAAGGCGATTTTTATTAAAAAATATTTGAGAATCGCAGATTTCTCATTTGGTAATTTAAATTTGAAAAACAGGAAATTTGGAAATTCAAAATTTCGATTTTCATAATTTTATGTCCCAACGGTACATCACCGTACTGTACATGAATTTACTACATCGGCAAAATCTAAGCAAGGTCGGATAATTTCATGACAATCTTTTCAAATTTAAATATTGACCTCATTGAATGAGTTGTAATTAGTAAATCAGTAACAACGTACTACAATTTCCGCTCTGCGCTTTATTTCTGTGTTTATCTTTACAAGTATATCAAACACAACAGAATTTAAATGATCATCTTAGAACTATTTCCGACCCCAAATATCAATTTAATTAATATTATTTAATGGTGATGAAAAAAAAAAAATAGAATTCGATGTTTAGTTAAATAATAATTGATAAATGTTTCTAATACAAAGTATATATTGGTTCCCTTATTATCTCTAATGCCGTGGTTACTAAAATATGAATTTATTGAATTATTAATACAGTGTATCGACTGTATCGTACAGAGATTTATTTATAGTAGTTCATCAGAAAATCTTGGCTTAATGTCGATAAATTTGATTATTTCCTTTATTATGAAAGAAAAATTTGCCTAATTTGGCTACATCATAATGTTAATTGTTTTAATTGTAGCAAAGCGGCAAAATGTGTGCAAAATTATTTTGTATTGATTATTTTATTGCCATTTTCGGAGTACATGTTCCGTAAGATCTATATCTCTATATCTTTTTTTGGCAACAATACAATTGAATACGAGGTTCTTTCAAAAAGAAAAAAAAATTGATATAAATATATCCTTTCTACATAATGAGAATTTTTTTTTTTATTAAAAAATTAAATACAAATTTTTTTTTACAATTACCGGGTCATAGTACCCCTATGTACAGTATAGTATCTAACCATGTAATATACCCCGGGTATAAACGAGATTGAGGTACTATGGCCCGTGAAATACTGATATAAGGTAATAATGAAATAGAAAATAAATAAAAATTTTGATTTTTTTTTCGTTCAACTATACTACAACTACTAAAAATATTGGCAAGTTTGAATTAGTAAATTATCTTTCCTTTTAACGTTCTTGACTCATTTTCGCAACTCCTTTTCTATTGATCTTGTTTCTTCATTTTTCGCTTATTAAGACCATTTAAAGACAAATTTTATACTGTATGTCCAAGGATTTTCCCTACTAACGTATATTGAAATGGATCTTTCTCTTTATCTAAAATACCGTTCTAGATAAACGATTGGCTCATCAGAAATCAAAAAGTTTCATTTTTATATTTCCTTTTTTTTAAAAATAATGAAAACAAAGAAATAACTTACCATGTACTGTCGCTTAATGTTCTTCCACTTAATGCAACATTGTTCCCATGAATAACTATGTTTTTCGGCGAGCATCAACTCAGAGGCACCATTCCAGAGTTCTAATTTTACACCACTATGAGGGTCACCCAATTTTTCGATTTTATCAATATTATCTTCTAAATATAATAATAAACATTCGACCGCTTCGTCACTCCAAAAGCATCGTGTGTTTTTTCCCGAAGATAATTTTCGTGATTTTTTTAGTGGACTTTCACTCGAAAAGGACATTTGTCTTGGGCTTTCGCACACAAATGTTGGACTTTCACTCGAAAAGGACATTTGTCTTGGGCTTTCGCACACAAATGTTGGACTATCACTCGAAAAGGACGTTTGCATTGGGCTTTCGCACACAAGTGTTGGACTTTCACTCGAAAAGGTCATTTGTCTTGGGCTTTCGCACACAAGTGTTGAACTGCTCCAAGATAGCTTTCGTGCTACATATTCAGAAGATTCGGTTAATCCTAATGAAAAAAGGAAAATCATTATCATTACTCAATTTTAATAGCTCAATTGTACGATTATCGACTCTCGTTATATTATGTTGACAGCTTAATTATCTACGAATTCAGATCTCCTATTCTCTGTACTAGTTATTTCACCCTTTAACTTATTTTGGTTGAATAAGGAAATGAACGGTCAATATAAAGTTTATAATACCTTGATTGGGATTATCAACATTATAATCTAAATAACTCGCTTCTTGCGGAAGGACATCGACCGATAATCCTATTACAAAAAAAGAGATTAATATGATTTCAGGCAGCATAAATATTAAATATCTTAATTTGTGTAGGATAAACTTTTTGATAATGCAATAAAAGTAAAAAAAAGGTAATAATGAAAACCTTTTTGATTGACCGTCGTCTGTGACATTGAAAGTATATCGTTCGAATCTAATATTTTATTTTAAGAGATTACAGTGTTAATAAAATCGGCAATATTAACAATATTCCTTTATTAAAGCGGCAATAAAAAAGCCGAAAGATACGTGAGAAACGGAAATCTCTAAATAAGGCTAACCTTTTTTATCTTGATGAGCATCATCGTAAGTATAACGTACTTTTTGTGACAAATATCGATGAAAAAGGTTAATACCAGAAATATGAAGGAACATATCGACAGTGCAATTAATCGCGAATTAGTATTATCATTGTAATTCTGGTGATTTTTAATCGTTGGTAAAAAATTATTACCATTAGAGACATCGTCTAATTGAGATTGTGGTAGTGGATTTACCATTAATTATAATTGAAAAATGATGATTTATTAGTATACAATAGACAATCGGAAATTTAAGCAGTTTGAGCAATCTATAACATCGTAAGAATTATCAATTACTAAATCAAATTAAATTTAATATGTAATTGGCAATTTTAATCAATGATGGTATTTTTTGCTTTTTTGAAAACTGCAACAATATTACTTTTGAAAAAAAAATTCATTGTTATAATAACCTTGATAATAATCTTCTTGTCCAAGTTCTAGTAGTGGATCAGTGATTATCAGATTTAATTAAAAAAAAAAATTTTTATTTAGTACCGATTGATAACAGAGATTTAAGTGATTTAAGTAATTTATAACATCGATATTAAAAAATTATCAATTACAGAAATAATTTTAAGTTTGATTATGGTAACTGATAATTTTAAACAATGATAATATTGTTTCGCTTTTTTGAAATCTGCAATAATATTAAGGTGGAAAAAAATAATAACCTTGATAGTCTCCTTGCTCAAGTTCGAGGAGTGGGTCTATTACTATTATAATTAAAAAAATAACGATTTTTACTTATAATTTAAAGCAATACAGCAACGGCGTAAAATTGTCAATACAAAATGAAGTTCGCTTTATTTATTGTAATTAGTAATTTCATGGGGTACAATTTTTGAAATGATATTAGGGTCGAGAAAAATTTTTTTTACCTTGGCTGTGACAATACTCATTTAGAGTAGGATGATCTGGATGATCAAATTCAAGTTGGGAAAGTGAGTGTATTGCTATTATTATAAAAAAAAAAAGATTTTATTTAGCATTTACTCAAATGTAGACGTGTGTTTGATTTAAGTAATTTAAAATAATCGATTATACTCGATGTAAAACAACCTTGATTATGATGAGAATAATCCAATAAAGATTGAAATTGTAAGTGGGCGTTTAATTCTAAAAAATTAATGACTGATATTTAGCATTCGTGGTTTTATTAATATTTCTTAAATATTTTGAAGATGAAAATACCTTGATTAAAATCATTAGTATAATTATTCGAAGAGAAAATTGTTTCAATTGTTTCATCCATTGCGCTATATAAAATTGAGTAAGAAAACTTTTGTTTCCCTTTTATTATTCGCTATACGAGAATGAATTTGGTTGTTTAAATATTGCATGTTTAATTTTTTGAGCGAATATTTATATAGCAGATCTTTCGTTAATCCAATACAGATGAACACAACTGTTTGTTGCCATCACATTTGATAAAAGGCGTTATACAATCATTATGATATTTCTCACGAAAAAAAAAATTAATTGGATATTGGTAAAATTTGGATTAAAAGTGGGACAATCTAAAACCAATTCAGTCATATATATTACAAAAATAGAAATTGAACGTCTTTTAAAAACAATATAAGTATTAAATAATCAATAATGATTATGAAACTTGTTTACATCTTTCAATCTAAGAATCCCTGTACTATTATTATCAACGATTATCATAAAAAATATAAAAAATACGTGCAACGTGTAAAAAATTAGAGTTTTGCCGATCATTTTGTACCTTACTTAAATCCAGTCAACTTACCTTATTTAACTAAGTGTTAATTAATCTCGTAAGTATCACCTGCAATTCAAATCACAAAATAATGTGTTAAAGAATTTACCTCAATATTAATTTTTCTACTATATATTGACTTACTTGTCAATTGCCAATTGGATACTTCAGCTACTTATTATTATCCTAACGATTGTGCACTGAGCTGAAAACACTATTATTTCGTGTTTCTTTTGCGGATGAAAATGGAAGTATGTAGTGCTCCGCAAAAGTCGAGTTTATCGGGACTTCTACATTTGCTTGATGCGGACGAAGCCATACCAAAAAATGTGGACACCTTCTGTCCGTGATCACATTATTTTGCGGAATATGATCCGAGTCGAGTCGACTCTTGCGAAGCACTACATGTCTTTTCATCCGTGATTATTAAATATTATGTGATTCAAATTATAAGTGATACTTGCGAGATTAATTAGCACTTAGATAAAACAGGTAAGTTGATTGGATTTAAGTATGGTACAAAAAAAGATCAGCAAAACTCTAATTTTTTTTACATGTTGCACGTATTTTTTAATGAAACTATCAAACGATAGTAATATAAACCATGATATATAACGATATTAATATAAACCACGTAGATCTATGGTGTTTGCAATGGAATATTGGAGTAATTTCAACCTCGAAAATATATTCAATCATTAAAATTACGGGAATTTCCGCGGTTTTTTTTTATCTAGGAATCTTTGTGCTACATTCTGTCTAAACAGAGTGTAAACAGATTTCATAATCAATATAAAATTATTAATGCTTATATTGTTTTATAAAGACGCATAATTTCTATATATGACTATATATAACGCAAATTTGGATTAAAAGTGGGACAATCTGCCCCATCAAAAATCAATTCAGAATCAAATAAATAAATTTATCAAGATCAAAGATCAATTAATTTTTTTTTCATTAGAATATACGTAATGATTTATACGTAAATGATTTTTTAACGCCTCTTATCATATGATGCCAAACAAGTAAGTTGTGTTTATCTGGATTAATGAAAGATCTGCATTGATCAATGATTGGTTATTGCTCAACAAAGTTTCTTACTCAATTTTATATAGCGCAATGGATGAAACAATTAAAGCAATTTTCCCTCATAATACTCATTAATTTTTTATTATTAAACGCTCAACCTACCTTTCAATCCGTATCGGATTACTCACATCATAATCAAGGTTGTTTTACGTCGAGTATAATCGATTATTTTAAGTTTGAATATGAGTGAATGCTAAATAAAAAACATTTTCAAAAAATTGAGAAATATTATCATCGCGTGAGATTACCAATTACATTAAAGTAACAAATTTCACTTTATATTGATAATTTTACACCGTAAAATTGCTGAATCGCGATTGAAATTTCATTAAAATTGTTTTTTTTTTAATATAATAGTCACCGATCCACTACTAGATCTTGGACAACTGGAGATTATCAAGGTTATTAATTACTTTTTTTCAGCTTTAATATTGTTGCAGTTTTTAAAAAGCTGAAACAATGCTGTTGTTATTCAAAATTATCAATTACAAACTTGAATTCATTTCAGTAATTGATAATTTTTTAATACGCCATAAATTGCTTGAATCGCTTAAATCTCGACTTTCAATCGGTACTAAATAAAACTTGTTGTTTTTTAACTATAATAGTCGGTTCATTATTAGAACTTAGACAAGGAGGTTATCAATGTTATTATAACAATGAATTTTTTTCAACATTTACAGTTTCCAAAAAGCAAAAGATATTATCATCGAATAAAATCACCAATTGCAAACTAAATTTGATTTAATTTTGTAATTGATAATTCTTACGATGTTTTAAATTGCTTTAAACTGTTAAATCTCCGATTGTATATTGGATACTAAATAAAATCGATATTTTTCAATTATAATTATTAGTAACCCACAACCACAATTCCTGCTTCCAAAGGTTATTATATGAATGATTTTTTATCAGCGAGTAATTACAGAATTACAATAATACGGCGATGCTCATTAAGGTTATAAAAAAGTTAACCTTATTTAGAGATTCCGGTTTTCACGTATCTTTTAACAATTATCGGCTTTTTATTGCCGTTTTAATATAGTGATAGGAAATTAATATTGCCGACTTTACTAATGTTGTGATCTCTTAAAATTATAATTATATTCGATCTCCACAACAGTGATAATGCTGAACAAGGTTATATACATAATAGTTTATACTTAATTTTCTTATAAATAAGATTGATAAGTATTAATCGTCGTGCTTATTTAATTATATTAGAAAACTTCCTTATCCCCTTAATATCACAAACAATGATCTATTAAAAAGGTTTCATTATTATTTTTTTTTATTGCCATCTTCAAAAAGTTTAAACAAATTAATATGTTGAATAATAGGATTTGTTAATGTCCTTTCGTCCTTCGCAAGAAACGAATTATTTTGATTATAATGTTCGCCAAGGTTATTATACAATTGTTTAAACTCAGTATTGATCTTTTATTGCCGTATTCAGTCCAAAGGTTAAGGTAAAATAATATCAGAAATAGAGATCCGAATTCGTAGTTAATAAAGTATAACGAGCCGAGAGCCGATGATCATCCAATTGAGTAATAATGATTTTCTTTTTTTCATTAGGATTAACTGATGAACGTATGCAAGAGCTCAAGGCAAATCCCTATAAAAATTCTTTTTGGAAAATTGTTCACATGTCCGAGTTTTTTTTGGAATAAAAACTAGAAAAATGATCATTTATCGGAAGAATATTTTTACAGGCCCAAACGAATGTCATGGGGTGAAAGTGGTAAATCACGAAATTTAACTTCGGAAAACGATGCTCTTGGAATGACGAAGCGGACAGATGTCTATTATTGTTCGGAGCGTAGCGAGACGGAAGGACATTCTATTGTTATGCACTAGACGATTTGATAGTTAACCCATGTAATTCCACCAACTACGTCATCCTATTAACCCCTGCATTTCCTTTATTGATTATATACCTCCTTTTGTAGTGTTAACAGTTGAGCTATTTTTCGTAATCAAATTTTTTTTTGTTTAGGTTGTAATAAAAAGATGTAAAAATAGAACTCTGGAATGGTGCCTCTAAGTGGATGTTCACCAATGGAGTTATTCAAAGGAACAGTGTTTTAATAAATGGAAACAAAAAGCAACATTATACAATAGGTTATTTCTTTGTGTTTTTTTTTAAAAAAAAAATAAATAAAACTTTTTTGTTTCTGATGAGCCAATCGTTTTTTTAGAAAGGGCATTTTAAATGAAGAGAAAGATATATTTCAGTAGAAAGAATCCTGGACATATATAATCCCTATAAAATATTTTATCCGTTATTTCTGTAAAAACTCCGTAAAATGAGCCTTTCACGGATCCATTCACGGAAATGTAAATAATTCGATAAATTCCGCGATATAAGGTTATTAATTCCGGGAATATGAGCCTTTTACGGAAAAAGATGGAATATGAAAAACGGATTGACTTTTTTTATAGGGAATATGTCTTTAAATGATCCTAATAAGCGAAAAATGACTGAAGAAACAAGACCAACTGAATAGAAAAGGAGTTGAAAATTATTCATGAAAATGAGTCAAGAACGTAGGAAAGGGAAGGGAAGAGAAATATGATTTATTAATTCAAACTTGCCAATATTTTCAGTAGGTGTAGTCTAATTGAACGAAAAAGAAGTCAATATTCTCTATTTCATTATTCATGTTTACTGTATCACGGGTCATGTTACCCGGAGGTATACTACTTGAGTGGATATTATAGTGCGCATAGGGGGAATACTATGGCATGGGATATACGGAAATCGTCGAAAAAAAAGTTTGATATTTAATTTTTTAATAAAAAAAGTCTCCTTATGTAAAAGGAAGATATATTTATATCAATTTTCTTTCTTATGAAAGAACGTATTTGATTGTATTATTACTAAAAAAAATAATATAGTCCCTACGGAACATGTACTCCGGAAATGGCAATAAAATAATCAATACAAAAATAATTTTGCACACATTTTACCGCTTTGTTACAATCAAACAATAAACATTGTGATGTAACCAAATTAGGCAAATTTTCTTTCAAAATAAAGGAAATAATGAAGTAAAATCAAATTACGCCAAGATTTCTGATGAACTACTATAAATAAATCTCTCATTGATTTTGTACGATACATTCACCGTATTTATGATTCAATAATATGTAATTTTCGCACGGATCAAGCTGATTTTGTTTGCTGATCACCGTACAATTTAGTTTTCACCCCTACTTCCAATGATTTTGGCTAGTGAGCTAGTGAGCCGGGTCCGATTGATCAACATCTGGAACTTTTGATTTGTAATCATTTGGGGCTCATGTCTTCTGCCGTCATTATATCCTGTAAAAAATGTTTGTCCGATAAATATTCGGAATGGTTCAATTTTCCGGACATTCGCACGCTATTATACAATATTTGTTACAATTTAACACAATATGCGGAGATTGAG